CTATGTGCTCTGCTATTTATATATATGTTCCTAAAAATATAATGTAACATGTCATGTTATGCATCTCACAATTGTTGTTTTGAAAAGTCATTACTTCATTACGATTGTCTCATGAAATATCATGACGGCACTGACAATTCACATATTCAACATCCATGTTCCAGGCGAATCAGACGAATAAGCATGTTCAAAATCAGGCGGGACCGCACTGAGGGCACCACTTGTGGGCTCAACAAACAGAACTGTTTTCCCTCATGCCTTTGGGAACCTTTCCCCTCGCCCATAATCCCACTTTAGGTACTAGTCACAAAAAGTCTCACGATGTGCCCAATCGGCAGATTTACAGCAGGCCCAAAATTTTCCAGTTTCTTCTCCTGTCCATGTTCACTGGGATTTGCTATCCGAATTACTGACAATATACCTAACAGGCAATAAAAGTCATTAAAAAAATATATATTTTTAAAAAATTCTCACGTCGGAATCGTCGGAAGCTTCTTATATCCTCACAAATAAAGCATACCATACGTGCGATGTGGGACTGTGGAACTTTTTCATACGCGCAATTTTTACTTAAAACTTATTATTCCAACCTTGTTTTCGCACTCGGGATTGCTCGGGATCTAATGGAACCATGAATGAAATCTTCAAAGTTGAAAAAATATACGCCATTCGACTGCTACTAGTAACTTGTAATGCGCACGCCCTAAACATTCCACGTAGTGCCCAACGTTGACTGAAACAGTAAACAACTAGTAACAACCGTAACAACAATGCAGTGTCACCAAGAGCAGATGCGAATAGAAATCTATTGTTTGTTCACTGCCAGTGTTGCGATCTGTGATATTTAAAATATTGTTATTGTATCTGCCAGTTTCGATCAAACTTCACGTTATTACCCAACTTCCATCAAGTTAATTGGTTCATTTTGATGTTCGGAATAACCTTTATAAGACAGATGGAGACTTTTTAACCTAACTTGAATTAATTTATTTTTGAAGTCATACTTTTATACCTTTTTTTTTAATTTGCAATAGCACAGTGACATGTGTTTTTCAACAATTCGGTGATCAGTGAATCAAAGTTTATGTGTAATGTCTTCCTTCCTAGTAAAGAACAGTGTATGTGAAAGCGTGAAAAAATTAAGACACAAATGAGATTGTCTGCTTTGATGAAACCCTCCTTCGGTTTATATGTTTGCATGGTACGTATTCTATTTCTCGTGTTATCTTACGTACTCTCCTTTTAACAAATCATACGATAATTTCGTTCCTCGCGTATGACAGCTAAGTACACGCGTTTCATATCAACGAACAATAGCGCGGATAAATAATATCACTTAATAGTACTTAATTCGCTTGATTGCCGATAGGAGTACTGATTAACGCTTTTTTCTTTCATTTTTAATTTAACGCAAGATCACATTTTTAAATCACTCGCTGGATAACCGTTTTCATAAGCACGTTGCATATTTTGAATTTCTGTAAAAGTACTCCCACTTCCATTGTCAGGTATTTGCAATATTATTTTGCAGCGGACATGGAACATTTAAATCCGATACCACTAGCGAGTGGAAATGATCAGTCAGATCAATTGAAATCAGGTATAAATTTTACATTCTGCTGGCATTAGTTTTTTAATGTTCAAGACTGATGTGCAATCGTTGTTTTATAGAGTCACTTGATAATAGAGAGGCAGAGAATGTGCAGCTAACATCGATGAAAGAGTGAGTAAACGTTATATTATAAACTCGATCGTTTTTTAAACAAACAATTGAAGCAGAAAGGAATAATAACTGTCTGCATAAATATGAAGCGTTAACAACTAGCGAATTATCTTTGACTGTGTAATTTTGCCAACGAACCAAGGACAGGACATTTTTTAATTACCTTTGCTTATTATTTGTTGTCCAGTCTTCCCGTTACCTTTGTCGCATGGAAAAGTAACATAAGCTCGTCGAAAAAAAATAATACGCGTAATACACTCATCGCGACGAATGCGTAAATATAATCAGCCGGCCGATAGTTTTGAAAATCTACCGACGATGTTTTGATGATGAAACGTGAAGAATAAAGGAGCGATCGTATTTCGTATATCGTCGGTGACTCGGTTCTATATTCTAAATCGCAACAGATCGGCTTTCGAAATTAGAATCGTGATCGATTCAGCCATTCAAACGTGAACGGCGAACGCGCTTCCTTCGCCACCGATTTTTATCAGGAACTAGTCTACTGGAACATGTAGTTCTCTGTTTACTCTAATTCTGGCGACAGTCGTGTTTAATTATTATCGTTCCGCGAATTATTAAATACACGTTGGTGTGAACTTGCCGCCGGGATGCGGAATATTTTGAACACGTGGAAGTACAAGCTGTTAATTCCTGCTAGGAATTTCGGGTAAGGAGTCGTTCTCTAATACGGAAAGAGAAAGCAGAACTGCATAATTAGCAGAAACTGGAGAAATAATCTATTCCGTATATCTCCTGTCGTATGGAAATGGAGCATGCCTTTCTCTCTTGTTCGCGAGATTGCGAGCTGTTCTCAGGTAGTGAATACGTACGTCCAGTCTCGTTCAAAGTTAAACGCGTTGTAGAGTCGAATCATTTTATTTTCCATAAAAATCCACAGTTCTATAACATTCTTAATTATTTTTGATTGTCATTTGGTAAAAATGATGGGGAATGTGAATACGGTAAAATGGGACTAGTCGAACGCGTTCTCCAGTTTCTGTCAATTTTCTCTGGTCTCTAAACGCGGTCACGATCCGCCCGAGTCTCGTTTTCTAAGTTCCGAAAGGAAACGTGGTAAAAGTTTGTGGTTTTGAGGGTTCTTATCGCATTGGACATTAAGTAAATATCCGATATACGTATACACATGCTTCTCGATGCGATGAAAGTACGTATTGCATTGAATAGAATTAAAAGAACCATGAAGGTAAATGGAACTAAGACATTCGGTGCAAAACGATACTTTTTTTACCGTAAAACGATACCGATTATCGGTTGTTCGTTAGTCCTTCAACGGCTAGTCAGAAAGTGTGCCGTGAGCAAAAGATGGGATCGAGTGCTGCGGCGATTAGGACAGTTATCAGTCAGTCGGTGATATCGAGACGAACTAGTGTTTGCGGTTTCCCCACTTTGCCGGAACTAATTCGTTCAAGAAAACACGATCCGCGAGCTGCTAACGTCATTCACTAGAAATCTTCCGCCTATGATCATCTAAACTGCATTTTCAGAACGACTTACTATTTTTATTATTGTATTCGTTGTGCCTATTTTATATTACAAATATTGATCGTCGCTTTTCCTTTATAAATATTCAGCCTGACGAAATACCTCAATACTACCGTTCAAAATTTCTATCATCTTCTTAAGTACGTCTCAGATCTCATCTGACTTTATTGCTAAAACCCAACGCTTATCAGCATATGACCTATATAAGTAAGCTCAACGATTAGTACAAAATCTGTACAAAGAGCAGAAGTCATTTTTCAGTAACACTCGATTGAGTATAGACTTAGAGTTAGAGCATTCGTGCAACATAATATTTAGAGAAATGGGGGACGATAGAGAGCCTCTGATTGGGGATAAAAGCGAACTGGATCCATTTTGGTAAGATTTCAAAACCTGTAATCAGAACGATAACAGAATCGATATCCTATTAAAATAGACTAGTTAAGTCACTCTGATGAGCAGTCGTTAATTCCTTCGCCTCTATTTCAAAGCATAGTGACAGATAATCGATAATACTGCATTATCAAGTATTATTAAACAATTTTAATTGTCTTGTAATGCATTGAAACGATCGATTTTTACATGAATCGCTAGGTTTAAGTTCCGCTTTAGATAAGCTGGAGCGCAATATATATATATATATATATATATGTAGCATAATTTTACGTCACTCGCTTAATCACTGCTGTTACGCTTTCCGAGTTCAGATAATAAAAATTTATGCAAAAGAGAACTTTAGCTCGAGGAAGCATTGTCATAATAAGAGGAATGTATTCTCTTTATCGCGTTCTGATACGCGAATGAACCGCCTTCTTTCTTTCACGATTATTGATAAGGTCCCTTTGTTTTAATGTGACTCTGATGTTTATTCAATATCCTACTTCTCAAGCAGAAAATTAGATGAAACAAAACGAGTAGATTGTATAAAAGAAATTGATCTGATCGTTCAGGGATGAAAACGAGGAGAGGGATGACTATGAGGGTACGGTGGTCCACGTGCCGAGGTCCCAGGAAATTAAAGATTCCTCGAATACTGGAACGATGAAGGTCAATATCGAGGGTATGAGTTGCCAGAGCTGCGTGAAGAATATTGAAGGGACTATAGGCAGTCGCCCGGACGTTCTCAGCATCAGAGTAGTTCTAGAGGAGAAGCTGAGCTACATCGAGTACAAAGCAGACGAAGTGACACCCGCTGAGTTAGTCGAAGCTATAGAAGACATGGGCTTCGTGGCTTCCCGTTGCGATCAGAATGGCTCTGAAACGAATTCTGTTTTAAAATCGACTATCAGCGCTTGCAGTATACACGTCGACGGGATGACGTGCGGGTCCTGCGTCAAAACCATCACTGGCAAGTGAATAATTGAAAAAATCTAGGAATCCAATATAAATAGTTTTCGTATTGCAGGAGTTTTGTCGGAGAAGTTGGGAATAAAAGAAGTGAACGTTAGTCTCGAAGACAAGGAAGCCAAAGTTTTGTACGATGATAGGGATGTCACAGCTGAGCAGATATCGGCGTTCATCGAAGATATGGGTTTTAGTGCTTATGTTAAAGAAATGAACGGGAAATCCTTTGGGGCGCCAGTGGATTTGAAAAATAATCCCTCGTCTGATACCGTCGTAGTGTCTATGAACGGGGGTGGCGATGTAAAAAGAGAATCGAATCAATTAGCAAAATGTTTTCTACACGTAACGGTAAATATTGAACAATAAACGCAATTCTGTGTTATGGTTTCGTGTTTTTATGGATTCGTTTCGTTTTTAAAAGGGTATGACTTGCGCTTCCTGTGTCGCTGCTATAGAGAAACATTGTAAAAAATTATACGGAGTAAACAATATTCTGATAGCGTTGTTAGCTGCCAAAGCGGAAGTTACGTTTGATCCAGATAAGATAAGAGCCGCGGACATTGCTTCCAGCATTTCCGAGTTGGGTTTCCCTACCACCTTGATTCAAGAACCTGGGACCGGTGAAGGAGAAATTGAATTGAAAGTAAGCTTTTAAATGCAAGAGATATAGTATTTAAAAAAATTATGGCATTACGAAATTTGTGTCTCAAATTGTTCAAATTTGGAAGCTGCTTATTCAGACAATTATATATATATTACAGACAGACCTACGATAATTTGTTGCTAAGTAATCATCTCATAAACTTGGGCAATTTTCCATACTTTCGCGATGCCATATTTTTTTTTTAATAGTATAGAAATAGAGTTAGCTTCAACTAAAAAAATCGGATTTCTCAGATTTCGGGCATGACATGCGCGTCTTGCGTGAACAAAATAGAATCGACCGTGAAGAAGCTGCCAGGTGTTCAGTTTGCTGCGGTCGCGTTAACTACTCAGCGTGGCAAGTTCAAATACGATGTAGAAAAAGTTGGTGTTCGAGACATTATAGAATGTATTAACAAGCTTGGCTTCACCGCATCCTTGATTAGTAATAGGGACAAAGAGAACAGAGACTACTTGGATCAAAAGTAAGCACAATAATCTCCTAGGGATGACGTTAAATAATTGGACGTATGTTTATATTTATGTTCTTCGCGCAGGGAAGAAATAAACAAATGGAGGGCTGCGTTTTTAGTGTCTCTAATATTTGGAATACCCTGTATGTTAGCTATGACGTATTTCATGGTAGTTATGTCGGTAGGTGAAAAAACGCATGAGGACATGTGTTGTATAATACCTGGTCTCTCATGGGAGAACCTAATTCTTTTTATATTTTCAACGCCAGTCCAGGTAAGCAATCATTTTTATCTGTGTCGGACAATTAATCTAAAATCTTTGACAGAGGAACATTTACAGTTTTTCGGTGGCTGGCATTTTTACGTTCAAGCGTACAAAGCTTTGAAGCATGGTACAACTAATATGGACGTATTAATTTCCATGACTACTACGATATCTTATTTATATTCGATCGCAGTCCTGTCAACAGCCATAATAATGGAAAAAAATGTTAGTCCGCAAACGTTTTTCGATACTCCTCCGATGTTGCTAGTATTTATCAGCTTAGGCAGGTGGTTGGAACACGTTGCAAAGGTTTGAACTATTCACTCATGTATCGTCATCTATTATACAAATGAATAAATGAAAAAACCGTTTGAATAATTTTCAGGGGAAAACTTCGGAAGCTTTGTCGAAGTTATTATCTTTAAAGGCGACGGACGCGGTGTTAGTTACATTAGGTCCTAACAACGAGATATTATCCGAGCGTTTGATCACTATAGATCTGGTTCAACGAGGAGATGTGTTGAAGGTGGTTCCAGGTGCCAAAGTTCCAGTTGACGGCAGAGTTCTCACGGGTAACTCTACCTGCGACGAGAGTCTGATTACCGGTGAGAGTATGCCGGTGCCAAAGAAGAAGGGCTCGGTCGTGATAGGAGGTTCGATAAATCAAAACGGCCCGCTTTTAATTACCGCGACGCATACAGGGGAGCACACAACTTTGGCGCAGATCGTGCGATTGGTGGAAGAAGCGCAGACGAGTAAAGCGCCCATACAACACTTGGCTGACAAGATCGCGGGTTATTTCATCCCTCTCGTTATAGCAGTTTCTGTGATTACTTTGATCGTTTGGATAATAATGGGATACGTGAACATAAACAATTTACCGATCTCGCATAACGATCAGATTAATATGCACGGTATCGACAGAGAAGAGATTATATTCCAGTACGCTTTTCGAAGTGCTCTTTGTGTGCTAGCCATCGCCTGTCCGTGCGCATTGGGATTGGCTACACCGACCGCGGTTATAGTCGGAACCGGAGTCGGGGCGTTAAACGGTATTCTGATTAAAGGTGCCGAACCTTTGGAGAATGCGCATAAAGTTAAATGTATCGTGTTCGACAAAACCGGGACGGTCACGCACGGTGTGCCGATGGTAACGAACATAACTTTGTTCGTTAACGAGAAGATTTGTTCGTTAGCGAAGTTCTTGGTGATCGTCTGTACTGCCGAAACGAACAGCGAGCATCCGATTGCATCAGGTAAGCAGCGAGCATTTTTATATACATAATTCCATGGGAAGTGTTAAATAAATCGTTTCTTTGTTCGAAGCGATCGTTCGATTCGTGAAGGATACAGTTGGTTCCGAAGCTACCGGACAATGTACGAACTTTCAAGTGGTCGCTGGCTGCGGGCTTAAGTGCAAAGTCTCGCACATCTCGACACCGTTGATCGACGCATTGAAATCCGAGAAAATAATCAATTATGTGAACCAGGTAAAGAAGTTGTCTTCTGGAACGTACACTTTGAACAATGTACCGGTGAACGTTGCGACGATCGCGAGCACGAGTCAGGAGAGGCAGAATCTGGACTTGGAGTCATTGCTCAGTCCTGATGTCCACGGTGATCAATCTAGTCCCGACGATGTATACGAGATCTGTATCGGTAACAGAGAATGGATGCGACGAAACGCTGTGAATATACCGATGGAAGTAGAGCAGAAGATGAACTCGGAGGAGGATTTAGGACGGACGGCTGTTCTAGCGGCAGTGAACAACGTGCTGGTCGCTATGATCAGTGTCGCTGATACGGTTAAACCGGAAGCTCATTTAGCGATTTATTCTTTAAAAAAGATGGGCTTGGAAGTTATCCTGCTAACGGGAGACAACAGAAAGACTGCGGCTTCTATCGCCAGACAGGTGATTTTTGCTCAACTTACAAATCGAATGCATTTCTGTTAATGGGTGGCTTAATATTTGTCTCTTATCTAGGTCGGTATCACTCGAGTATTTGCAGAAGTTTTACCTTCGCACAAAGTTGCTAAGATTCAGCGTTTACAAGACCAAGGCTTTAGAGTCGCGATGGTAGGAGACGGGGTCAACGACAGTCCCGCTCTTGCACAATCGGACGTTGGCATTGCGATATCTTCTGGTACAGACGTTGCTGTAGAAGCCGCTGACGTAGTTCTCATGCGAGTAAGATAGGCAAAATTACTTTTCTCACGAGCTGCGTTTATGTACAGTATGACTGGACGGGCGGTGATACTACATAGAATTATCTCGAAAACAAGCGTCAAATGAAAAAACGTTATTTCTTTTTTGTCAGCTTACTTTTAAATGTAGTACCACCCGTCTGTCTACACCCTGTATTTCGCTTCAAATGATATTTGACAATTTTTTAGAACGATCTTTTGGACGTGATCGCATGCCTGGATTTATCGAGGAAAACTGTTCGTCAGATAAGACTGAACTTTTTATTTGCTAGTGTTTATAATTTGTTGGGTATTCCTATCGCTGCTGGGGTATTCAGTGGTTTAGGGTTATTCCTTCAACCATGGATGTCCTCTGCGGCGATGGCATTGAGCTCGGCGTCCGTGGTTGGCAGCTCTTTGTTGTTAAAATTGTACGTATCAGATTTGAATAAAATATGAAATCAGCGAAAGGAATTTTTATGTTTCATTTTTACAGATACCGCAAACCGACGAAAGCAACGCTAGAAACGGCTGAATATTTGGCCGCGATGCACGCTCATTCTACCGCGAGAATAATCGACATGGAGAGTATATCTCTCCACCATGGTTTAGACGATACCACAATACCAATCATGCATAGATCAGCGTCCACGCTGTCCAGGTATGCTCACTCGACTTCCATGCTTCCAAAATTTGTGCGAGGTTCTAATAATCCCACTGCTTGAAGGAGGGTACTTCCTATATGATTGTTCTCTCCCTAGCTAACATCGAGATGTTAGTATTATCCAACTCCGTGCTTGGTATTTACTTTATTAATTTTACGATACTAACAAAGAAACCAGATTCTTTTAATTAAACGAAGATCAATTATTTGTTTTGTTTGATAATCGAGCATTTATAGTTTCTTAAATTATAAAGGGGCTGTGAGTAACATTTGTTAATTGAGCTAATGCCCATAAGACTGAAACAAATTTTTTCTCTAGTTTTCTCTAGAAAACTCTAATCAAACTGTAATATACTATTATAAAAAATTGTAAGGAATGGTGTTTGTAAATAAAAATTGATATTTTTTAATCGACTGGATCATGAAACAAAAGTTTGCTTGTTTTATGACCTGTCTACCTTTTGCATGCTTTTCAATATTTCTTATGATTTTCGCAGAGGAGGTTTTATTTACTTGTTTATCTTTCAATAATTTTGCTATAACTATGCAGCTCTTTCGATTCGATTTTGCAGCGTATCCGATTAATCTACTTCAAGAAAGTCAAGAGTATGTATGTCGTGACTAATTTTGTTATTGGACTTCTGTTTTGAACACGCTTGTTCAGAACTACCTTTACACTTTCTTTTGACGCTTGTGTTTACTGTTAACAATGTAGAATTTATTTTTTATGCTGTATATTGCTTGTTGTAAAAAACAAAAACTGGTACGATTTAAGACTCGGTTGTCTATCCTCGTGGAATATAAAAGGAGGTAATTCTTTCATTTGTGCGCTTGAATTTGTTTCCTTTTTCTTTCACAATTCCGTTACCAGGTTCGATAATGTGTGCCTTCCATTCCAGACTGTTTAGAAGATCTAAAGACGACGTAGAAGGTCGGCTTCTGGGTGAGGATATCGATGAGATCGATTTAGTAACGGACTTTTCTGATTACCGGAAAAGCATGAAGGATCATACTAGCATAACACCATTATGATCCGTAAGAACGATATCTCTTCTAATTACCGCGACGGTCTGACTTTAATTCAGTTTGCCATAATTCCGGCAAGAGCTTCGTTCATATTTCAATGAATCTACGAAAGTAGGCGATGTAAAAAAATATTTGGTTGGTGCTTCTTGCATATTATATAAGATTCGTATTTTATGTTTTTCGTCTTTTTTGTATCTTTTGTACTTAACACATTTTACATTTAAAAATGCAATCTTTAGATAAAAGGGAGACAATATTATCTGATAGATTGGAATAGATATTATGAAAGTGATGATGGTTGATGGGGACCACGGTCTGGTTCAAGTATTAGCAAACTTAAAACGTCTTCGATTTAAACGAACACTTTATTTAAGCAGAAACGTAACAAGATTTAATCTTCCAAGTGAAAAACGTAACACATACTATTTAGCAACTTAATTTCTATAACTCAGTTATAATATTCTTGATACATATTTTAAAAGAACATAAATTAATATATATTTAAGAATGATATTTCTGCAGAGTAACTTGTACATTAATTAATGCAGTATGTTCGTTTTACATTTAAGTCGAAAATACGTATATATCTAAGATAAAGGTACTGTTCGTGTATATATTTACACTTTTTGTGTGCATCGTATTTACCTTAAAAATGTATATGGATGTAAAATAAATATTTTATAAATATCTTATCAAAATTAACATTGGTAACGAAAGACATCACAAGCGTATTAATTATCCATAGTACCTAGTGTATAAAATAAATGTGTTCGCAATCGACGAAATGTTTTCGGATAGTGTAAATGTGCACAGTGTAATTACTGAAATCTACTTCGATGTTCTTTTCACTTAAACAACTATAATAATATTTAAAATAAGCTTCAGCATGATTTAATGCGTAAGAGTTGGTCTGTTCTTAGAAATTGTATCTTATAAATTGATAAGAATTGTTTCTGTTATTACAAAGTTCCATTTGACTGTAAAATGGTACGTTTCTTGATTGACCCGAGAATATTTTGTAAATATCTTATAAAAATTAACATTCGTAAAGAAAGACGTAACAAAAGTGTTAATTATCCGGAATATCAGTCATGTATGAAAAGAGCGCATCTGCTATTGATGGTTTCAGAAGGTAATTATTTAAATCTTGTTCAGTATTGTTTTCATTGAAATAATCACCGTAAGATTTAAAATAAGCTTCATTATGATTCAGTGCGTTAAAGTTGTTCTGTTCTTCGAAATTGTATCCTGTAAATTGATAAGAACTGTTTCTGTTATTATAATGTTCCATTTGATTGTGATATTGTGTGTTTCTCGATTGGCTCCAGGTGTTGTTTGCAGTAGTCTTGTTATTCCATGTGTTCAAGAGGTAATCATCATAATTTAGATTCACTCCATAATTATTGTACTGAGGTAAGAAGCTCGTATAGTTCTGTTGTGAATTCTCGTACAGTTGATTTGAGTTTGAAAGATCGCAGAGGACGGTTGTGTCTCCATATCTACAATTCTGCGAAGAAATATTAGTTGGATTCATTAAACCGCACGAGTAATATTCGTCTGACGCAGGAATTCTATCATTTGAGTAATCATAACTTTCTGCATTGTTCGTATTGTTGTATGGTTGCACGTTAAAATTTCTATAAGCGTGATTAGAATGATTGTAATTTTCACTGAAGTACAGATACTGATTCTCTTCCCCGTTTCCTTGTGCCACGTACTTAGAATTATCTTGAACATATTGAGCTTGATTACACGCATCAAATGAATTTCCAGACTTTTGTTGCATATCAGGAAATTGATCGTAGTGACTTCTGTTATTAACCGTGCATTGTTTATGGAAAAATGTTACGAAAGTCTCGGTGGGCTTGTAATGTCGATCGGATTTATATTTTAAGAACAGAATGTTTAATTCCTGTTGTGTAAGTGTCGAGTACTTTAATTTATTCGCCACAAGATTATCGAATTGTTGTTGATACAGTTGTTCATTATCTATCTGTACTCCGTTCAAGTTGTATCTGTTTCGAATCTCGTGTGCATTCAGTTGTTTTACAATTTTCGTTCTAGGATTCCTCAAAGAATCATCTGTTCGTCTCTTTGTGACATTCTGCGAAATTACATATTTCATTCTTTTCATGAAACATCGATATAACATTAATATCTTACCTTCGCAGGATTAACATTCTCATTCTGATAATTCTGTGTTTTCTTTGACAGTAATTGCTCGTCACTTCTATCGATACCTAAACACGAAAAAATATATAAAAATAAAAGACGAACGATGTGCTAAAATCTTTTGTTAACGTTTGATTGAATTTGAATTTTTTACTGAACCAACTTACATTCTGCCATGCTGACTTTTTAGAGGACCCACGTGGACCTTTGTACGGCGGTGAAAAGAATACTGACACCAACTGACACTCCGGCGTGCTGCTCTCTCGAAACCTAAGTATTTATTTTTCTTTTAATACCCTTTTATCGTTGCATTTGATTTCAAACTTGAAACCTACCATTCAAGATATCTTCGTCTTTACTCAAAGCAATTGGAACGTTACAACATTTTGTTGTTTTGGTAATTATTTCACGAGATCGACAGTCATTTATTTTCCCTATTACAGTTTCGATCATTTTTACTTATTTTTACGTCTCGAGTCAAAATTTGAACGCAGTTAAATCATTTTATCTTTCACGAGAAACGAAGTCCCACGTGTATCATAAATATTAAACAAAAAGAACGTATAGGATAGGGATTGGGCAATAAATAATTTTCTCATTCAATGTACTTTATTCAAAAGCATTCATACAAAAATTGGAAAGATAAATATTAAGAATCGTGTTAAAATACGTTTATTTGTAACAATTAAGGCACTTGTGTTTCTCTTCTTGTTCGTACCTGCAATTAAAATAAAATTCTTAAAGATCGAATCGCGAGATTTTTTTATATTTCTATTAACTTACACAGGTAGAGAACAATTCTGGCAAAATAGGTCTGAACAAGTGGCACACTCGGACAGGCAAGAATTGCACAAAACTTGATCGCAATAAGAACATTTATTGAGCATGCACTGATCGATCACCCTGCTGCATCCGCAGAGATCGTATCTCTGCGGAAGATCCTTGAGAAATGTGAAAATAACATTGTAACATCGTCAAATTTCAATGATGATCGGTTCACAGAAAAATCGAGAGAAGTCGCCTTACCTTTATAGCTTTGTCCCCACTTAACAATCCCAGATTTTTAGTGAGTGTCATTTGTTTCGAATTCCGTTCAGTTTTCGGCTTGCAGGAGGAGGCGGAAGTTCTCTCCGACGCCGGCACGTCAACGGCGTTTAATTCCATTGAACTATTCAATCTTTGCGACAGAGTCTTGACACCTTCCTTTAACAAGTCCATCGTTCTACCTGTGCGAAGTAACGAGAAGTACGTTACAATAGCGTCGACCTTCCGGAATTATAACCTCCGTACCGTATATGTCCTTCATCAATTCTTCCCGCGAGACGCCGTTGTTCACTTGTTTTTCACCTACGTGCAGTTTCAATTGCGGTAACAAATTGTCTTCGAACGGATACGGCCGCTTCGGCATTCTTTTTCGATTCGACCGAAATTCGTCCGACGCGAAATAAACGTGCACGGTTTTAACTTTTAAACTATTCGAAACATCGCTGTATATTTGACATAACGATACGACCATGTGTGTCACGCTGATGTTTACGTACAATCACTACGAAAAGTATCGTCGCGGTATATATTTTTCCAGTTACTGTAGCCCAGTGTTCCGAGTTTAAAACCGTGTGTGGACGTGCGTAAATATTTAATTAGACGGTTGAGTGGTTAATGGATGAGGAAGAATAAGAGGATCCTCCTTTGAGAAGCCATTTTCCTCCTCAAATTTAATTTGAATCATATGAAAAATTGGACACGCTGGAGTTACACACACTTACAGGATATCGGAGGATCCAGTATCCCAATGGGAAGATCGTAACTCACGTAACGTAAATAATGCCCATAAAACATTTAATCCTACATTATCCTAAATACAGTTTTCTCTGTAGAACTTATAATTTAGAATCCTCTCTCAAGGATAATTTAACAGAATAGAAAATACAAGATCTACTTAAATTCATTAAAGAAACCAAATTGATAAAACAAATATTGTAATCTGTATACTCTGCGATATCGCTAACAACCTTGTAATCGACGCGACTTAAAGCCCAAATAAAAAAAAGTTTGTTTGGAGTTGATTAAAGATCACTGTAATATTCTTGGAGTGATAATAATTAAATGGTGTATAAAATGTACAGACTCGGGAATGAAGTTAATTGCAACGAAATTAGTAATATTTGTTTATTAGTAATGTTGCATCATTATTACTTTTATACATATTTGATATTGGCCATCAACAAATATGTTACAATTTTTCATCACCCCACATTCTCGTCTTTATCCGTTTGCTTGAAAACTAACGATATTACTTTATAATAATACATAATGATCCATAGTCATTGCGTGACAAGTACCAGCAGTACATATTCGTTAGTACAATAACTGTACACTGTTGTAACTCGCTTTAGTAATGAGTAAACTAGATCGTATTTATAAAACGAATATCCGAAACGTACGTGGAAATCATATCCGTCGAAATGGAATCGAATAAAACGATTGCGATCAGAGCTAGTTTAATATCTGTCGATTTAGCGGTTATTCATTTTCTAAAACAAGTCCTATTCAAGTCGCGAAGTAAGAGCCAATTGCAATAATCGTTTCGTATTATAGGATCGCGAGATCCAATCGCAACACGCGATATCGTTGTCGTGGGTAAAAATAAATGAACGCATAAGAAAAGAAGTATTATCTCTTGTATAAGGAACGAGGGTTTCAGGACAGGATCGTTCTCTTCTTTATTTTCGTAAAAAAATAGTTTACTGCAAGTGCATCGAATTTAGCGCAAATCCCGGATCTTCTCGACTTCAACCGCTGAAAAAGTTTCCGCGGCGGATTCGTTTTACCCGGCAGAGATTTGTCGAGATTTGCTCTGATTCATGGCTACGTCTTTCGAATAACGTGTTGAGAATTGTGAAAAGTGCATCTCTTTAAACTTTTATCACGTCCGTTCTATTCTACTGCGTTCACGCTTTCGGGTACACGTTTTGGTTCATTCGTTTTTGTTAGTCGTGGGTGTGTCCGCGTTCGGAGCGATAACGTTCGGTGCCCGGTTCTTGCAGAGGTTAACAATACCCGAATCGACGTAACCATCGTTCGTTAAACGTGCCCCTTATTCACAAAACAAGCGACAAGTATGTCCGTCATAATCGGCTGCGTATATCGGTGAGTAAATTAAATCATTGTTTATTTTATGCAAGCGTCGGTTACATCGTTCAGATAAGAATGGTCGTCGTTTCTCATCCTGGAAATTCCTGCGTTGATCGACCGAATGAACCTTAAAGCAAACATATATTAAACGCGTGTTTCACGGTTAAAAAATTCGTTGAGCTCGAGGTAAAACGATTTGATTTGTGGTCGAATTCCGCGGCGGGTCGGTACACGCTGGAATCTCCGAGGGGAAGATCGAAATTTACGCAGGCAAGTCAAGCGAAATTGTTAAGGAATAGTTTTGCTCGGAAAAACACATCTTCGGACTCACAGCCGTTATTGTCAGTTGTCATGGACGTTACTAAATACTCGGTACATTCAACGCGCAATCGATAAATCGAATCGCTGTACCCCCGGGATCCTTTTAAACGGAATATTGATTATGCATCTTTGATATGAACTGTTTCATCTATACCCAAATTTCACAGACGATTGCCGTGCAATTTTTAAATCGACTGTAACAGTCAGCGTGTTTCACTAAGCAGAATGAACGCAGTTTGAAACAAACGATGAAATTTCAGAGTGACAATAATTTTCCTAACTACTATACATTTTTGATAAAAATTAGTGAAAGACTTCACACGAAGTACATATAATCGATACTCAATTGTCGGAATCCCTCGTGTACGACACTTCGATTTTTCAAACCTTCTTTCATCATCGCCAAGATATGCTGGTACTGTTAGAAATGTAACACGAGATTGCTAAATCAACATTTTTAACATCGACAATCCGGCGCTGAGGATTTCTAAACTTCTTTCCCTCGAATTCGGATATTTGTCAGTACATTTCATACGCCTTCCTAGAAACATTCCCTTTATTGCTTTTAATTAAGAAATCAACACTGCAATTTCATTTTAATCGGTCGCATTATTGTTTATGATCAAATTCGTGAACCGAAACGGAAGAGTCGCGTGCTAATATGAAAAGCGTACAAGTGTATCAAGATCACAATTCGTCTGAGTTGGCTCAATTTTGTTTGAAGCCAAACCGCAAAGACCAAATGGTACGTCGATGGTAAATCGAAAAAGCGCGAGAAGAAGCGTCACCGGAGGTATTAATTACTCGACATCGAGATACAGCGATCAAGAAAGCGAAATCTACTACAGTACTAAACCGACGAACGCGTTATTTAAACAAATGCACAGACGCGTTTAATAATAAAGTTCATTAGCTAACTTAACCAGACGTTTGTCATCCGACGCGGTCCGCGTTTGTTTTCTCAACAGATATAAGGGCGCAGGTTCCGTTCAGAGTAAACGAAGTCGCACGAAATTGAATCGTGAAAGTTTATCTCCTTGCCGGGACCCGAATGAAAGAACAATCACAGAAAGACACAGCGATACGAAAGTGGTATAGTCGACGGAAGAAGTATAGCGGGGTTGTGAAATTCACATCATTCATTTCAGAATTAGTCATTAAAAATAATAATAGATCATGCAGATTAGTAACTGATACCGGTTGCGGTGAGGGCCGTCTTTATCAGACTTGAAAATACTTTCTAATAAAGAATAGAAACATTTTTCTGGGATTCTCGGACAACTTGGCTGTTCCCGGCAACTTTCAAATTTACGAATGATATTGATTAAAATTTTTTTAATTCTTTTCATTCGCAATCAAGCATTGGGACTGTCGAAAGCGAGCATTCACAAGTACACCAAATAAATTGACTTGCCTCAGCCCTGGCCCGACTTGAGAACTGAATCCTACCTGAAATTATTGTGTTCGTAGGCAAGGTGCAATGATAGGCCGAACTTTACGACCTCGCTGAAACTCTTCCACCGACTCTACTTTTGTTGAAAGACAAAGACAGAGAAGCTTGCTGGAAAAGTGACAATAATGAGATAAAGCTTGATGATGAAGCGGGTAAACGGTGCAGGGGGAGGGATGTTCTGCTCGAAGAGCTAAATAATTGGAGCAGTTGGCTCGAGTGGTTGGCAGAGATTTTGGTGAAACGACGATGTTTTCGGGGCGATAATTAGCCTCGCTCCACGCCGTCGCCGCCTGGTAAGAACACGCTGTTCACCAACGGAATCGTTAATGATCAACGTTTACGTTAGGATACTCGCGTTTAGCTGTGCACGGAAACTCTCACCTCTGCGAATAGACACAATAGTAAAATGATTGCGGCACAATACCTAATAATCAGTTTAAAATCTTGGGGGTGGGTGGGGTTTTGGAGCTATTTTACAATAGGTATTGCGGTCACTAGGCGCCACGGTGCATCGCAGCTACCTTTCTTGCACCTTATCCAGTGTATCGGATCAGTATTACGTATCATTACGAGCAACCATCATAAATCATGTAAAGAATAATACAAATGAATCATGTTATCGTGTGCTCGTACATCTATGTCAATTAGAATAATCACATAAAATAATTGGTTACTCTTTTGTTTCATTAGATGTACAGCTAGCCAAAACGATTCCTGACCCACTTATTATGACAGATGCAAAAATTAAATTTCAATTATGCAGCAAGTACTATGAATACTTCTCGTCTGCTCAACATTAACATGCCTATTCTATTCTATCTTACATCATTCTGTTCGTCAAGATTTAAAATTTGATACTTCGTCGAACGTTCAAGAGATTTAATTCAAGGTTGAGGATTTGGGACACGCTTTTGTATCTCATCTGCATAGCGAGAAGGTCGGGAATCGTTTTGGGTAACTGTATATGAATCTTTTATTTGATGGAATTCATTGACTGAATGCATCCTTGCATCTTAGCAAATAGCAAATGATTTTTTTAATAGAATCAATAAATATGATCGATAATTCTTATCGACTCGGTGTTCATAAACTTCATAAACCTTGTAAATAACGGTACGCGACGGTGATACGATACGAGGGTACGATACAAGTGGATACACAACTTTAGAAAGATAAATGAAAGAAGCGTAGATAATACGTGTAACTCGATATGCTGGTTCGAGTATATAGCTCGAAAGTACGGATTGCAACGAAGAGAAACTGGTTCAGTTGATTTCTGTCCGATACGACAACGGTATTTAAATTATGTAACGCTTTAATCCTGTTTAATCGGATTTCCTGAGCAAGGCTGCCGCGATGCAAGCTCGAAGGCACTCACGCGCGTGTGTACATGTATGTGTGTGTGCGTGTATATGTATGTGTGGGCCTCTGTGTATGTTTACATGCAACGGAACGTCAACAAGTAAACGTGTGACAAATCAATCGAGTGCAAATCGCCTTATAAATTGTATAAAAACGTCTATCCGTCTAGCTTATTCATGTTTTAAGGTGTATGATGTTGGTTTGTATAATTATCTACAATTGTATGCGCCCGGTTCAAGGGTCCTCTGCTCACAATCTTGTCTCTATTTAGCAGGAAAGCACGCGACCTCTCTGCGCGTCTCAACCCTCTCCTTCGTTCGGAAATCAACGAAGGTTCCCGTGAATTTCATCGAATACGTCGCACACGGTGCGAATTGATCCGGTGTCAGGTAAATTACAGTAACTGACATTTTAATTCACGTTGCATCCTCGCGCGCATCTTTTGTAAATAATCGTATAAAAATTCGCAGTCTGTACACAATTATATAATTCGAAGCTACTCCCCGCGAAGGTAAGCGCAGAGCGAATCAAAATGCTTGCCAGCAATACGTTGACACCGCATCTCCCGCTTTACGACGCTTCAAGTTAATGAGAAAAACAAATGTAAATATGAAGATAGCGGAGGAGAAAATTGAAGTCGACGCAGAGTCGCGTGGGGCAAAAGCGAGATCGAAAAATAAATTGGAGACACGCGAGGGGTATTGTAGCGAATATTATGTACTTTAATTGTTCGTGAACAAGTGAGCTGCGATAACGGCAAGCTCAATTGTGCAACGAAATGAGACAGCAGACGGTAAAATGGTCCCGAGCTGTTTGACACACTCGGCAACCGTCGATCCATTCACTCGAGTATATTCACCGAAGTACTTTAGTAATTTTTTCTCTCTCCACCCCTTTTTAAATTCGCACGATATAAAATCCTAGCTTAGTATGGCCGGTAATTTGTTTCTCTTGTGTCCTCGTATTTTCCCCATCTCTCTTTCTCTCTCTCTTACTCTCTCCCTCTCTCTCCCTCTTTCTATTTTTATCCCTTTCTGTTTTCCCTTCTCTGTAATTACGTATTACTTATGTCGTACGAATGGTTTTACATTAATTCGCAATTAGTAAATAGATAACCGCAAGCTTACGTTCTAAATTCAATTTATATGTTAATGGTGTGTGTCTGTCTTTATTGTGTACGTATGTGACGCGTACAATAATAGCGATTCGCCTCGGCTATTCAACGACAACTCGTTTCTTTTTTTCACATTCATCCCTCACGCGCGCGCGCGCACACACACACACACACACACATACTTGCTTTCGCTCATTAGTTTACGAGATAATCTCGCGTATATTGCAAAGCCCGATTTAAACAAAACGTTACTCGCACTCGTACGCATTCTCTCTCCCTGTTTCTCCTCCCCTATCAGCGATTAAAACGCAGGAAGGTGGTGGTGCTCGTCAAACGATAGCAACATCCTTCTCCTTTTTATTCTCTATCTATCTGCAAGCTTCTTAATGGAATGGTCTTAATACAAATACTGGATATCGAATCGGTAAGAACAAGTAATTTTATTCTAATTGCCTATCGAACCAGGCTTCACGTCCGACTCTTCCCGTTTTCCATTTAGCTACGTCACCTTTTCGAAAACCAACGATTCAGTCAATTAAAGTCTACGAACAATTAGAATAATCCTTTAGCTAGTAACGAAACGATCAACAGAATTCTCTTCGCCGAGACGAATCATCCGTTTTCGAATCCTCGTTTCTCTTTCGCGTAGCTGTTTGTAGGAACGAGTCGCGATACAATGTGCAATGTTTATATCTAAAGGAAGAGCTCCAGTTTCGGAGCTTCCACATTGCATTCTTTTTTGATTCGACTCTCGCTTATGCTCTTAATTAAATATCGCATAATCACAAAATCGTTTAACCGACTGATTAGAAATAATTACAAATGTATTAGCCGTGTCCAAATTTATTTTCTTTCTTTTAAAACGTTTTCTTAATAATAACATGAAAAATGATTGACAAATCGGTCGTGCACGACCGATTGATATCTTAGATTTCTCGTTAGGTTACATTTTAATTAGGACGTGTACCTATCTAGCTGTGAAACCAACTAAACGGCACGTCTTCATTAAATAATTGTCTCATGGATCCTCTCCGAAAACTGAGAACCGTCGTCTTTCCTTTCTTCGTTGTCGAGTGCTACTTTTCACCTATCCTACGTCTTTCCATCATAGACGATACTCGATGCTGTTTCGCGGTACGTTTAACAAAAATATAACCGCTATTTGAACCTTAGAGCATACACTACATGCAGGAAGCACGCTTACGGCGACACTGTAGACGAGTGATAAGGAAAGAAAGAATATTAGATTGTGTCTGCGTCTTCCTCCCTTCGCTGTCTGCTAGTGTATGAGAGAAAAATAGTATCCAAACTATTTTTTTTTTCTCTGTCACTCGTCTACAGTGTCGCCGTAAGCGTGCTTCCTCCATGTAGTATATGCTATAAGATTTTAACGGTCCTTGAATTATCGTTTCGGATTCATCTTGCGTCAGTAAATTCGCATGTTTAATCGAGACTAATTCTTTATGAAAAACAAGTTCAATGAACTGAAGTTCCCGAGAAAATCTTGATGGGACACATGGTTGCTTCAAAGAATGTGATTTAGTCGGATTCTCACGCTGGCGTTCGGCAGGTTTCGTCGTTTAATTCTACTCCTACAGTGCTTGGTTAAAAATTGCATTTTACAATGTGTTTGTCGTTCCACTAAGAAGCCGGGACAATTGTTGAGATATGTTTTCTTTTCACCGTGCGTCGAGAAAAACGGGTATCGGTTACATTTGTTGTTTTTTTTTATTTCTTCGTCGCTTAATCTACTAGGTAAGATCTTATGTTTCTTCTCGCGGCGAATTCTTCCTCGTTCTCTTTTTTAAATAGCAGACAAGAAGCCGTACGCGTAGCAACGCGACGCTCATAAGTGAAACCTAAGTACTTATACGTGTACCTATATTGTATATATATATATATATATATATTTATATATTAGTCTTTTGAAATGTTTTTTTTTCTCGTGCGTGCAAAAAATAAATCTCTCGACGCGATCGTTGCGCCGCTTTTTGTATGTATGTAACTCGTTCCCTCCCTCTCTTTCGCCTCTACTTACACGAGTCTTGCAAAAAAGTTAAATACGTATAATAGAAAGTGCGAGAGACGCTCGGCGGCGAGTCTCGGTTTCGTTTTTCTTTTTACCTTTCCGTGTCCCGGAATTTCGCGGTACCCCCTATCGATAAATAGGACGCTGTTTGAATTTATATTCGACTAGTTCGTAGTTTTTGAAAAATTCGAAACTACGGCGAATATTGCGAAGCGAAAACCGGACGCGCCTACGCAATTTCCTCGCACTAGAAAAGTTCGTTCCTATTCGGCGCGCAATGTAAAAATACGGAGCGAAGTCCTCGTCTCAATTTTAGAATCTGCGGGAAGCTGCGTTTCGCTAAAGTGTTCAGACTGCGGATTCGTATGCCGGGTTAAAGACTTCCCATGTCGATTTAAAATTTTAGATCGCATTTCATTGAAAAATATTAACGTGTAGCTTTTGATGACCTGCACTGGTTTGCATATCGAATCCGCGATCTGTTATGAGTTTTAATGGAACATCGGTCTTATCGCGTTTACTTTTTCATGTAATATTAATCGTTAAGGCGGCTTTTGGATATTTCTGTAAGGATAAGGCATATCCGGTTACTCGAAATTATCGAATGGATTTGCTTTTAATTGATTTCGTTATTTGGAGACGCGAAAGTAACGTGAGACGAGATAACATTTCCCTGCGTACACCTTTCTTCATAAGTCTTAAGATAATTCCAAGTGTTTATTGTGTATCGAATAATCTGATACATACTCCAAATTAGTAATCATCCAAGATTGTTTTAACTAAAAGATTGATTATATGTACATAGTTTTAATAACATTTTACTTCAAATGAATTAAACAATTCTTATGTAATAATTCGGATGAGAAATTAGCATTTTTTTAATTTAATGATTTTAATATTAGAAATTTTATATCATTTCATTAATTATTCGTTTTAAGACTTAGGACTGAGGATGTACTATGGAAACAGTAATTTCGTTCAGGCTTGGGCATTAGTGAAATAAATTATTTGAAAAATAATCTTGCAAATATTACCTCAACTGACTGTATTTTATTTGAAATAATCATTCAATAGTTTATTTGAACGTATAAGTAATTTTTCTCTATTTTATTCATTATTTTATAAAGAATTTTCATTTTATTTTTTTATTTGATCAGATACTTTTTAAAATAAAGTTACTTTTCAAATATTATTTATAAAATGAAGATAATACAGTTTTTGAAATAATTTATCATTTCAAATTATTATTTAGTATCTTATTTGAAATGAAATATGCCCAATCCTGATTTCGTTTAGGATGCTCGATGTGCAATAAATAATATCGCAAATGTCTAAGACGAAAGGAATCATAAAACAATCTAAGAAAACCGGAGAAGATTAACAAGACTAACGGAGATTAATGAACAGGCTCTTGAATCCCTCCGGTTTTTTTGTTAATCTACTGAAATTAAACAAAAGTTAATTGTCGCTTCGCAATAAGCTGTATGTAAGTACGTACCGGGATAAAGCATCTGAAAACCGCGTAATCCGATGTTATGTGTGTCACTATTGCACTTCACTTTCAGATAGAAACCGTCGTAACGAAAAGCCGTAGGCTATCACTGCACAAATTTTTCTCACAACAAATCTTGCACGATCCTTCATCTTCCATCTGACATTCCTTCTATTTATCTAGATTCACACCTTCCCTTTGATGCTCGCTAATTTCAATGCCTCGTTCGATTAACAAGCTATAAGTATTCTTTGTGTATCTTTGGTTTAGAATTGAATCCTTGCACGTGGCAACATCTTCGAGTACTGCTTCCTCAGAATCTGCACGATGTTCCTCAAACAGTGTCGAAATTCGAAGCACTGATAATAGAAAATTTTTATTTTCTCATCTTTTTTATTGCAATTAAAGGGCTGTTAATCTCCATTCCAGAAATAAATAAAATTCCCTCGAATTCTTTAGAATACAAACTTATCGTTCATCGAATTATCAATTAAATAAAATTCTATTATCAGAATCTTTCTGTCCATCGAATTCTGTCAGAATCGAAAGTACTGCTGCCGCCTTCCCGGTTTCAGGATCGCCTCCCGACGATCACCAGAGTTTCTGGGTGCTGTCCCACAAGCTCTTCAGGCTGGATCGAAATTCGAAACGGAAATTCTGGTAGTATCACGCTATGTTGTTGCCGCTCATCGTGGTCACGCATTTCTTCTCAGGCGTGTTCTGGCTCTCCGAGTTGCTGCGTACGGCCTTCGTCGGGCTGCCCGGCGTCGGCGTCGCGTCACCCGGCAACGGGTTGTTGTTGTTCGTCGACGTCGAGCTCCTCCGGCCGTTCTCACGCGTCGGCGACTTCACGTCGAACACCGACGTGTCCGAGTCAATATCCGAGTCGATCTGCAATCAATTAAATTCAGCTCTTAAGATGAAGCTCATTTTGTAGTTTATCTAAACCTTTGGCAACGAGTTCACTATGGAATTGATAAACTCTTAAACAGTCCAAACGAAGTTCATTTCAGGGCCTTAGGTGACTAAAATAAAAAGACTTATTTCATTAGTATACATTATCAAACATTAAAAAACTTGTTGCTAGAAATTGATCTCTGTATTAATTATGTCTAACGCAATAGACTGATAACTTACACGACTGTTAGAGAATTTGTTGCCAAAAATTGATTTTTGTCAATTACATATGTTTAACGTGATAGACTACATGAAAATAGATGGCTTTCTAATGAATCTCTTGTCTACATCTATATCTAGTACAAATTAATGAACTAGTTCTTTATCATCATTTTCATTTTACAGACATACTAATGCGACTATCTCTACGTATTCAGCTATATTACTAATTGTAAGTGAATCCAACTGAATGATTTTATCATGTTTGAAACTGACATAGTAAATGGCTTTCTGTCCACATCACGATTTCGCCTCACTGGTATAAGATTGCATGTAAGATTATAGAAAAATAAGGGCAGTCAGCAGCAATTGTGACGTGGGCAGAAATTGGAACATTTACTATACTACGGAACAACATGTGAATGAGCTAGAGGGAATATCCTGAGTCACCTTGCGGAACGTGTCCGTGATTTCGAATAGAATAGAAAATAGTTAGATGTGATGGATCTACCAGGAAGATGATGCGCTACCTTGTTGAAACAGACTACCTGTCTGGTAGCTGGGTGCGGGCTGAGGAACAGTCGCTCGCTGGTGTCGCTCCCGCAGCTGGAGCTCTCGCTCATCTCTTGAGCGAATTTACGGGAAGCTCGGGGACTAGGCGGCGCCGCTCTGCTCTGCCCTCCTATGTTTATCCCAACATTCCTCGAGCACACCTGCGACTGAATGTGCTCGCACACTCTGCGAAATCTTCGGATGTTTCCTGGAATCGCCCAAGCATAACTGTTTACTATCAATTCTTAAACATTTTCTACAATTTAGATTGGATAGGCTTTCTCTGTTGCTTGATTGGTTTAAGAAGAAATTATTAATTAGTATTGCCTTAGTTTGGCACTTTTGGGTTCCAACGGCCATGGACCCCCGTTTGCTCCAAAGGAGATAATAATGATAAAATAATACTCTTCTTCTAATTTATAATTATGATTATTGATGATAAAGATCTTATAATTGCTAAACAATTTGTACAGATTCATATAATTTGATTGAAATGAAACTGCAACATCGTTGCTTATAAATTCTTTTACTTTGTATTATCAGTATTGGTTTAGAAAACATATTGCCAATATTATATTTTTGAAAATGCATGAGTCATGTTGCAAGGACAAGTCGTAATTGCCAAACAATAAAATTCACATTTACACAATTTCAATGAAACGAAACCGCAACGACTGGCATGGAATTCAATTGATAAATTCTTTTATCTTATACTATCAAACGGTCTTGGTTCAGAAAATTGTTGCCAAAAGTTTCATTGGGAATAAAATTATATTTGTGAAAACGTATGATTGGTATTGCAAGGAGAAAAGTGTGGATCCAGTCTGATGCTGGTGTCTAACTCGAGTAAATGAAGGGGTATTTGGGAGACAACAAGAAATTATACACGCGCTAACATGCGGACAGGCTTTGGCACTGGCCAAGGTAACATCGATCTAGTTGCGCTTGGATGGCTGCCAAATGGCAAACGCCGCCACCTTACGTCTACCTATTCGCGGTTTAGCTTTTCAACCCCTAGTCTGAAGAGCTACTGTAGAATCCCCGATAATCCAGCACGTTTCTCAATACATACAAAACCACATCTATGTATTCGTCTAACAAGGTTCAACATACAGTCGTTCGGAACATATACTGTAATACATACATAGTTTATTCAGGTCTAAACCAATTATGCTGAACTAGGATTATCACAATTCCATTGCAATATTTTCTTTTCAATTATTTTTATTTGCTTTTAAAATCAAAACTTGTTAGTTTAGCATTATTCTTATTATTTCTTTCTGCGTTTATTCCGCGTTTTCTGTCCTCCCTTCCAGATAAATTATTGACTCTTTAATCGAATTGAACAGCAATTGACAATTAATGTTTGGTTTTTGATTCGGATTTAACTAATTATGAATTAAAATTATTTGATTGGCTTAACTGAAAGAAATTCGAATTAGTGATTCTTAATTAAAGAATACTCCAATTGGAAATTTAATCGTTAAAAGCTCTGCAACCCTGATCCTCGCTTATCACTTAATCTCGTTGTACTCTAATAGAAATGTATTTGTACGTAAAGTAGGACGAAGGAATTTATTGAAAATTAGCTTACCGCTGATTAAAGTAAAGGTAATAGCGAACAACGGTTCGTTGGGCTGCTTGGAAATTGCGCTAATGTCCACTTGGAATCGGACTTGTCTCTGGAACATGGCAGGCGCCGTGCTTCCCCTTTTGTATTCCACTCTGAAGGACATCGGCGAGATTACGCTGTGAGACAACTCGGCTATCTGTCGATCGAGATCGTTGTTTTAATACTACTCGCGTCGAATGCGTAAATAGGGTCTTTGCTTTCTGAACTCACCGATAAAAAAGCGTGAATCAGGTCGGCTTTCACGCTGGCCAACGCTTTTCCCTTAACGAGGATCGTGAACGTCTCGTCTTTCTCAGTGGTCATCAGACTTCCGAACCACGACTTTTTCGTCAGTTCCGGGGAGGAGTCCGGTGTAAGATGTACCTGAGAAACAAACAAAAATAATTAAGATTATACAGAATGATTTTATTGAAAAGTTTTAGAAAAATGAATTATGGTTTGTTGAAACATAATCAAATAGTAAATTAAAGAGCTGCATTAAATACAGAATTCATATAAAACATCTTCTAATGAAACAAGAGAATGATCAGATGTTTTATATGATATTCATATTGACTCATCATCCTGTATACCTTTGAGAATAAGGGAGAAGGGGAATTGCGTACCTCCTCGGCGCTTGTTAGCAGCTTGCGTCGATGAAACCGAGGACTACCAAGGAACGAGTTCTTGATGGTTGTCAACCTTGATCTCCAGTGATGAGCCCCGGAGCCGGCGCCAGTGTGGGGAGAGCCTGGCGGTGTAACGCCGACCGCTACTACTAAGAGACCGACTATTCTTTACTTGTTCCACTTTCTACGTTATACGCAACGCAATAGCTTCTCACTTTTTCAATGAAAGAATATTAAGATCGTAGCAAAAGAATTACAGTATGTTACAAGAATCATTGTCCTGATTCAGCAAGTATCTTCTTTAGCAAGGTTTTTGATTATCAAGAATTGTAGCATACATAATAAAATTATTGTCTTCATTTATTACCTTCTATCTTTTATTGTAAGTTTATCTTTTATTGCAAGGCTCTGATTAAGTACTTTCTAGTTTTTAGTGCAAGGTCACTGATTATCATTGTATGTGAGATTAAACTAATTGCTCTTTTAGAACGATGATTGAAATAATGTTTCAGAACTAATTGTCTTGTTTCAATACCTTCCATCTTTCATTGCATAGTCTTTGATTATCATTCTATATGATATTAAACTATTGACTTTTCAAAAAGATTGCATTGATTTAATATTCCCTGAATGAAAAAAAGAAGCTATTGCTTTGACATAAACAATGATTTCGAATAAACAACGCGAGACTTTGTACGTGGAAACAGAGAGGGGTTTCTTTGTCAAGAGAAGGAAAAAAGCGATTGCGTCTCTACAATGATTCGCTCGTTATGCTCGGAGGTCAGTTGCATTTTTCAAACCACCCCAACTGGGTAGCCCTTTTCTGCAAGATGAAACGCCTACTCAGACGGGCCAAAGCTTTTGTTCCCCTTTACAAACACTCTGAACACCTTGCCTCTCCCTTTGTCGCGTTCCGAATATTTCCATTTTACTATTTAAATTATTATATCTATTTTTCGACCGGACATTCTATTTATGGAAAGTAATCGTTTACTTCTGTATTGGTATAATTAGATATGTTTTATTCGATCGCGAGTTCGACTTTGCAAGCTTGTTAAGAGGATTCGCTAGATAATTTAAAGTGTACTTTCAAAGAATCGATTATTCATGGAAAGAAGTTTATATCGATTCGTCGAAGGACTCCGAGCTACTTTTCTCTTAAACAATGCCATTAAAATCTTCTCCGAAGAATACTTTGCTAACTTTTATCCGAGTCGTACAGACGATTAAACAATTATATTTCTTATTTCATTTTTCATCATTCTCTAAATGCGTTTCAGATAGAAATATGAAATGTCCAAAGTGAATGCACATTGAAAATTTTATTTCATTTGTTCGAATGATTAAACCATTTGACTTCTCATTTCCTAAATTGACATTATGAATGCATTTCAGAAAAGTGAATGCATACTGCAGTTTTTAGTTAAGTGAAACGATTAAATAATTTCAGTTCTCATTTGATCTGACCGTTTTATAAATTGGTATTACGAATATACTTGAAAAAAATGAATGTCCGTTGCAACACTAGAACGTTTACTGAAACATTTAATAGGAAAATTTTCTGGTTCGCATGCAGCGTTTTTAAATTTACAATTTAGTCAGAATGCTCGTATCTTACCCTGTTGTACGTCGTTTATCTCAATTCCCACGCTGGGCACAGCCGGGACAGGCGTTACGACTGCCGGGGTGGTGGTGTTACCGTTGCCTGCGGTGGCCGTCACCGTCGACAGCCTGTGAGGGCTTCCCGTTTGACCTAGATGCGAGGCCGGAGGCGCCCTGTGAGGGCTGAGCAGTCCTGCGACCGCGTTCGACGCGTGCAACGGCGAGCTGCCCGGCGTCGAGGCGTGCGAGTGCGACGCGTGCGTGTGGCACCCCGTGCTCGGCGAGCGACGTGTGTGATGCCTAGCACTGCATTGAAATTCGTTCACATATGATGAATCCCAAAATTATTTGCAATGAGAAATCGATTAATTAAAACGTGCATCTAGTACGTGACATAAGGTATGATTTCAGGTATGAGTCTTAATATCATTGCTGAATATATGAAAAAGATAATAAGAAATATTTGTAATAACTTTTGTTCAATTTATCAAAACATTTATTATATGATGAGTTATATCCTTCTGGTTTCAGTTAAAATGGTCTTATTTATATAAATGCATAAAATCCGCTGTCTGTTCATTGTATATGTAAAAACAAATACATCATGCAACCACAAAATTGCAGTATGATTTGCTCTAATCAGGAAACGAGGGAAGTATAATATTGTTTTATGGAATAGAATGTTCGGAAGCCGCATCGGACCAGATCGTGGGCTATTTCGCGAGTTTGGCGTTCCGTGAACCGGTCTACTGATTTAATCGAGTTTGTTGCGCGACACTCGAGAGGAGAGTGTAATTTCAATCGAGTTAATCGTCCGCGTTCGCACGTGCCACGGAACTGGGTAGGGAGGACGATGGAAAAAAGGGGTTGAGAGCAGTTGATATCGTGCACGCGACCAGAGGATTCGCCGATGGTCACGCGAACTTGGACAAAGACAAAGGTAGCTCGGAGAGATCGACCATGCGATTGACACAGAACTTGATCCGATTTGTACAGTCCGCGGTGAGATATAAGTAGATTTTTATATAAACTGAAAATTTTATGGTAGTCAGTTAAAAAATAGACACTTACTACCATTTAATGGTTATTAATGCAATAACAAATTAGTATATAATAACTATTTCATGTAATAATTAATAAGTCTCGTTTGAATATTTATAAAATGAAAATTTTGATATTTCGACTAAAGTAAAACATTTATGATAAAATGCATTTCAGATAGAAATCTCTTAGCAGTAGATTCATAGATTGTCATCACATTTACGGAGCTAATGTCACAATTTCTACTCACTAACGTATTTTTCTGTAATTCTATTGTTGTCTTAGAATTATAGAAAATTAAGCCAGTTCGTAGAAATTGTGACGTGAACAGAAATTGGCGCATTTATTTTACTCCACATTTTTGCACGTTATATGCATTATGTATATTTTCTGGATATCAAATTTTTATATGAATGCATAAAAAGTGCGATTCAATGACAACATAGTCTATTTTGAATCATATAACAAATTTGACTATACAAATTTTGCCAAGCAAATGGTATAGAGGTATAATGATAAATAGGATTTTTAATATTATTACCTGGACTGCCTCCTAGGAGTTAACGGCGATCCATGGCTAATTTCCCCGAGATTGAGAGCCGTGCTGCCGTTCACTCTGCAAGTGTCCACTCGTTTCCTTGGTGGATCCGCTTCTAATTGTCCTGAAGAGCCCCGGACGCCTCCTCTCATCACCTCCAGCTCGTCCTCGCATGCTGGTCTTCTCCGTTTCCTCTCCAGTAGCAGAAAGTATATCACCTTCTCCGTGTTGTGACTGAAATCATCGCGTGAAAACAAGAAATCTTCTTTGAAGAAGCACTTTACTTCATTCAGTCTCTTTGATTTAATTTTAAAGGCGGCAAATCAGACATGATTCTTTCATACTAAGAAATGTATATAAAATTATAGACAGTGACAAATTCAAGAAATAATTTATTATATTATATCAGAGATTTCCTTTCTCGTTATATCAATTTCTATTTTCATACAATTTTGATTTGTCTTTAATAATGTTTTACTTTCTATTTTTTAAGTAACTACGAAAATTTTAACAAGATATGTCTTTGAAGTTTCGTTGCGCAAGTAAAAGACTTTTAACAGTTAACTAGTTAACTTATTTCTCTCCTTTGACCATTGAGCCTGGATGAACTAATAATAATTCAAGTTGAAGTGCGAAAAATAAAAATTTTCGCACATTTGAAGAACCCGGCCAGACTGAAATTTAAGGTATAAAAAAGAGGATATCTCTGGTGGTGGTGAAAAGAGGACGTATGGTAATCCTAAGGAAGCAATCAGATTGTGCAGGGGAATTAACAAATTATGTAAATGATGTACGAGGTATGTAAGAACGAAGGATTGGTCTTACTTGGGACTGAGAAGTTCCTGAATGAGTTTGTCCCGTTCCTTGAAGCAGCCTAGGCTGGCGATCGCCTGCAACACGTCCGGATCGATCGCCTCCACGGACGGAATAACGTGCGTCTGCACCACGTCCATCATCGACAGCTCTAACTCCAACTCGCCCTTGCCCGCCGCCGTCACCCACACATGCCTGTTTATTTCCGCCAGCTGAGGAAATGCCAAACCGCGATTTATCGCCCCTCTGCTCCCAACGCGGCTAATTAATCGCGAGTTCCATTAATCCCGATTTTAACCAGAAAATATTTAATAGCATTTTCTCATTTCAAAAAGAATATGTATTGACTATGACCCAGATAGTTGATCAACAAAAGTAGTTTTTAGAAAAGAAAAATTGGATAAGAAAAGAACGATTGGATTGGATCAAATAAGAATACTTGAATGAAAACGTGAAAACAATTTCTGTACAATCTACTGCTTGTGCAAAACGATCGTAAAGCTTTATTTTATTGGTAGTTGGACGTTACCGTCAGTCTCTTCTCCGGGTCGACCTCGATCATTCCTTTGAGCAGGTTTTGACACTCCGGCGGTACGAAGTGCGGTATGTAAAACACACCGCGTTTCACCTTTTCCAACAGCTTTCTCAAATTGTCGTCGTCAAAGGGCAACGCGCCTACCAGAAGCGCGTAAAGTATCACCCCGCACGACCAAACGTCCGCCTTCCTCCCATCGTATTTCTCACCCTGGAAAACGTGCAATTATCCCCGTACGTTTTTCTCCCTTTTAATTAAAAAGCCCCGGAAAAAATAATAATTCGTCTCGAATGCTAGGAGCGATTACGTTCCTTTATTAATCCCTTTGAACGTGGCCAATGTCGAAGCAATTAAGTCGGTCCCGGGTTCTTAACTCTTTCTAACAAGGAAGGCTTCTCAACGGGCAAACTCCGATTTTAATGAAAGTTGACTGACTACCAAAACTGTTGAAAATATTCGATATGTATTCTTTTTTTAGCTGCGGTAACTGAGAGATAAAACCACCTTCCGAAGTTAAATCCCTAAACTGCTATCTGAAAAATGGCGAGAGATAGACAAAATATTTTGAGCAGAATTACACGATTTGTAATGTTCTGAAAGAAAATATACCAAGGTTTACGAAAAATCATTTAAATTATTTAAAAGAAATTTTGTTGATGTTTTAACTTCGGTAATTTTACCTCTTAAACTTGAGTTACCGCAGCTAAAAACAAATACGTCTCTAATATTTTTTTAAACCTGACAAATCTCGTTAAAATCAGAGTATGATTGTTGGAAACTTTTCCTTGTAAGACGCGAAGGGATTTGGATATTCGTATGGGATTAAATATAGAGTAGATTCTTACTCGAATGACTTCGGGGCAGGCGTAATGAGGGGAACCGCAGCTGGTTTCCAGCATCGAGCCCGCGGGTTGCAACGAGGCCATCCCGAAATCCGCTATCTTAATGTTATTCTTCTCGTCCAACAACAAATTCTCAGGCTTCAAGTCTCTATGACTGGTAACAAGAAACATCGAATCAAATTTCTTTGCGATTTCAACCCTTTCAATACTTTTACAAATAATTTATACAAAATAAAAAATATATAATGCATCCACCCAACATGAAATGAAAAGTCTGATACATATTATGAATCCAAGGTAATTAATAAAGCCCTTGCCAATGTATTTTAATTTTCGATTGTCACATTTGTCTCCAACAGAGATGGTGTTCAAAATTTCTTCTTTTTCACAAAAATACGATCACGATCCGTGATTATAGTCAATCATGTGTGGACTTCCTATAATCGCAGTATTAATATCTGCTATAGTAATCAGAAATAGCTTTCGATTTTTAAAATATTTGTATGTCTCTTTTGAAATGCAATAATGAACGCTTAGACATGAAATTATTAAGGACTCACCATATACTATGACTATGGCAAAAATCTAACGCAGAAATGATTTGTCGAAAAAATCTCCTGGCTTCTTTCGGCGTTAGTCTACCCTTTTTCACTAAATAGTCGAACAGCTCGCCGCCGGAAACGTGTTCCAGAACAAGATATCTGAAACGAACAAAGTGCAGTTTTCATTCCCCGGATTTTTCCGAGCGTGCAATCACCTCGTCTCCGCCACCGTGAGTAATGGGTCCCGTGAGTAAAACACTTTTGTCTACCGTGTAGATTTCCCTGCCTATCCCTTTTCCCATTCTGACACATACCGAAATGCCTTTTTTCCCCCCCACATCCCGAACGGCCGAATTAAAGTTCAACGACTTTTCGAGCTTGATGAAACTCACGAGTTTCAGACCGGGAAATATTTCCTTTCTCGGTTTCTCGGCTACTCACAGGTATTTCTTGTTCTCGTATACATCTGAGAGGCCGAGGACGTGAGGATGGTCGATCAGTTTCATAATCGCGATCTCCCGTTCCACCTTCATCAGCACGGACTCTGACAGCTTCTCCCTGTTGATGATCTTGATCGCCACCTTCTTGCCCAACACACAGTGGACCCCAAGCTTGACCAATCCTTAAACACGTTTACCACGATTTATAGATATCGCAAACACCATTCAATTACATTTACAATTACCATACAATTACCAAACACCATACAATTAAAAATAAATCCATTTAAGTGTATACATATAAGGGACGCGGTACCCGACGACAAGCTGTCATCTTCAGACTCAAACTTGCCTTCAGGATGCTACCTCGTCCCTTAATTTTATATAAGTAGTCAAAATATGATTTGATATGTGATATGTTTAAATTATCATTATAATCCTGGATCAAAAAGTTGAAAAACGCGACCTTCACATTTTTCCTTACCTTTTTACTTAATCTCAATTCTTTCGCAATCTTTTATACACGTAATTTAGTAAACTAATCCTCTTGACTACTCAAAAAGACTCAGGTTGTTTGGTCCAATTTTACAAAAGTTAGTCAATTTTAAATAGCATGTGTTCAGTTTAGAAGTTTTATGTTATTCTTAAATTATAGGACATTTACCTCAATCACTTTGTCTATATTAATGAAAAATGGTAAAAAAGGTATTATGTAAAATAAGAAAGAATTTTATAATAGAAAGGAGTGAAAGTTAATAATAAAAACAGTAATTTTAAAATATTCAAATTTAATTCGAACAGTCTGGTAGGAGGGTGTTTCGAGAGTCGCGTCTCGGGTTCAAGTGGTAGCTGTTTTTAGTGAAACGGGGCGAGTCGGATCTGGTGAAAATCTGAGAAGTCGCTGAATAGGCAAGTAGAGTTCTTTATGCAAAGAGTGGCTCGTTGTATATGGCTAGGATCACTGTGAATCGGTCCCCTTTGTCCGTTTGGCCTTTGCTCTTTTCAGAAAAGGGAAATGAAAAAGTGTACCTCGATATTAGCTATTGTCGTTCCATTAATCAGCTTCCAACAGCTTCTTTATTGTAGAAAATCAAATAGCTGTTTCAAATCATCTTTCCTAACACGAGCTTTTCATGCACAGTTTAATCCATTGCAATATTTTATCTAATATAGATTAATTTAAAAAATTCATAGAAAAATCAGTTTTCGTTGATGAATAAATTTAATTTAGGACCACTAACTTGAAGTTGATGAAAATATAAGACTTGTGGTCTAATACTTTCTAACAAAAGAGCGTTTGAAACCATTTTTCCCAACATTTTGTCATGAAGCTTTCATACATATTATAATCCATTGCAATATAAATTTACTATTTAATATACATAGATTAATATGTAAAATTCATAGAAAATTCAATTAAGCTTTGTTGATGAAATTCTCTGAGCAATGAATTTAATTCAGAACCACTAATGTGATTTTTATGTGAAAATATAAGATGTGTGGCGGTCTAATATTTTCTGACAATGAGGGTGAAGGATAACGGAAACAGGCGACAACGGAGGATATGTTTGAGATCCTTTTCGAAGTCTGAGTCACTCTCTTCGTGGTCGTCACGATGTGTACACATCGTGTCACCTCGATGGGCAAACACAGAGGTTTTGCTCGAGTGGTTTCGAGTTGCTTCCACTTGTTAAATTACGGAAACTTCCCCGTTGGAGTCTCGTCGTTACAAAGTTATCTACAACATCTTGAATCCTTAATCTCGCTAATTCCCCATGTGAAATGGCCGATAATGCGTTTCGAAGTTTACAGTTCAAAAGTGAGCCAAAACAATCGTAGTCCTCCACCGGATAAGATATACAGCTATTTTTTTTACAAAATTCACTATAACACAAGAAATTAATTAATTAATCATTTTTATCCAAGGTATTGACAAAACTTTGCTTTATTATTTGTAAATAATAACAAGCATTCCATCTTTGATGTTCTAAGCATCGGTTCCATTTTCTCTAGCTATTTTCCTACAGGGCTTTCATGTATGATATATTATTGTGTAGAGGCTGTCGCATGTATCTATTAATAGTTTCAGTGAACTGATATAAAATTAGTTTCTGTTGAAAGTCTGGTTAGAATTCCAATAAAGCGGCGGCGTCGTACGAAACGGGAATAAATACCGGAATCAGATGACAAGTTTAAATTGGATCGCGAGGGTTTCCCGAATAAAACTTAAGTGATCCGCATTTAAAGTAGATACCAAAATATTTCAGGCGTTTAATATCATCACACCGTAATTGATTTAATCCTTCGCACTCTCGAGTCGATTCATGCTGAACATTTCTTCATTTTCATTTTATATAATTATTATGTGTTATATAATGTATTATCCAATAAACATTTATTTTATTATTAAAATACTGATACATGCAGTCAACTTTTGATGTTCTATATAGTTTTGTAGTTATTACTCCCAGCGTACATAATTTTTGCACATTTCGTTTTCTTATAAATGCATAAAATCTGTCGTCTAATTATTAATTATACTGATGAAA